CGTTCTTTGCAGGAATTTATTGATGTACCTCCTGAACTCTTTATTACTAATGTGATATTTCTCTTTTTTATCACAATAGCCAGTCCTATTATCCAGTCATACTTTAGGCCTGAGATTAAGAGTGTTCTTGCTTCACGCTGTCCTCTTCTCTTTACTTGTGTTTGCTGCTCATTCATTCATTAATGTGTGTTTGTAACAATTGATGTATAACATTAGTTTCTGTATACTTTAGGTTCTCTTAGTTATCTATTTATGTTCATTTTGGTTTTTCATGTTGCTATTTCTGTTTCTTTACTTATTACATAATTGTGACATCATGCCTTTGATACTATAGTCCCGTTTTGCCTTTTCCACTATGTCCGACCACACATATCGGATTTTTCCATTAGATTACACTCAGCAAATGAGTAGTGATACTGCTATCAATATGGATGATCTGTTACCATAGTAAATAATAGTGCCATGTACTAGATATAAGCAAGTGTTGTAGCTATTAGGAGAAATTAAGATACTGTATAGCAAGAGTGGATAAGGAGGAGGGGAGAGTGTCTAACTGCCTTTATGCTGCTAGTGATATGTGCACTTAGAAGTCTTTCACAGTTTGTTTAGCACTTTCTTTGACTGGTCACCATGAAGAACTTGGGGGCCATTTCTATATTTAAGTTTACTTAAGTACATACCCAGCTACCCATATAGAAAAAAACAAGGTTGCAGCAACCTGGTAACAAGGTTGTTATTACTAGGTGGTCACAAGGTGGTCACTACCTGGCCACAAGGCCTACCACCTTGTAAAAACCCTGGAATTGACACGTTTTCCACCTTGTGACAACCATGTAACAACCTTGTGACAACCTTTTGAATAACTATAATCTGAAAGCCTATCAACACATAATTAATATTGTCATCTTAATCCCATATAATGTCAAATGATTTCTTGATACTTGTAATGTTCTATGATGCATGTAGCTAATGTATAAAGATGTGGATGTGTATTAATGCTATCATAGGGGTAGGAACAAACTAAAAGTTGGGGGGCTAAGGTATTATTTATTTACAATCATAGGAGCATGATTTAACAATGGATCATTAATACATGGCATGTACAGAATTAATAT